AGAGAGAGAGAGAGAGAGAGAGAGAGAGAGAGAGAGAGAGAGAGAGAGAGAGAGAAGGCCGTATGACTGTCGTCCCACCTTATTTGCGACGAAGAGTGGTTGTTTGGCACGGTGGCAATTATATTCCCCTTTCCTGCTGCACCAGAATGCGGAGCCATCTGATACTCTCTGGGCCTCTACAGGCTGACAGCAGATCGCAGAGATGGCCCTGTACACCCAGGGAGACGAGCAATCCATCCCAGATGGATTTGATTTCTACCGTGTCCCCCCTCCTGCTCATCATTCTTGTTTACATCATAGCAGAGCTAGCTGTCGGTCTCTTGGTCTCTACAGGCTCATAGCACAGTTTGAAGATGGCTCGGCACACCAGCTGAGTTGAGCGATTCATCTGAGGTGGAGTGGAGCTCCCTCTCTTGTTCATCTTCCTGCTCTGTTGATGTCATTATTTGCGCCAGAGAAGAGCTGTCTGTCAATCTCTGCGTCCCTGCAGGCTATAGGAGCAGAGCGCATCCATGCCACTACACACCCGATAAGAAGCTATGAGATCCATCTGATAGTGCTGCTTGTCACCGCCCTCTGTGTGTCTGTGTGTAAATATTAGAGAGAGAGGGCATCGATAACTCGCTACAGAAGAAGCTAAAAGGCCTCACTCCACTGCACAACACTACATGCATTTGGACATTTTCTGGACCCCATGCACTCCACAATGTTGAACTCGTCCAAATGAAGCTGGTCCAGAAAACATCCAAATGCATGTAGTGTTGTGTAGAGCTGAGCGACGCCCTACTCATCCAAACGCAGCTGGTCCAGAAAAGCGTACAAATGCATGTACTGTTGTGCAGTGAAGCAATGCCCTAAGGCATGCAATCTCTCCGTCAATCTCTGGGTCGCTGCAGCCTGATAGCAGAGCGGATGTACAGAAAACTCCAGCTGCGCCGAGCAATTAATCTGCGAGACAGTCATCGTTGTCGACTTTTCCGCTGTCATCACTGTCGAGCTGAGCATTGTTTTTTTTTTGTTTTTTTTACCGTCGAGGTACTCTCCTTGATGGCCCCTGCCCTCGGTGACTCTTTGCCCACTCAGCTTGGCATTTGTTGGCCTTTGTCAGAGTGGCAAGCAACTCGGATAGCTCTGGACGATGAGCCCCGTATGGCTCGCAGCATCGCATCGCAATGTGCGCAAATGGACATAAGGAATCCATGGAATAAGATCCGGCAGGAAGATTTGAATCGATAATCGCATTGACTTGATTCTTTTGCAAATGTGCTCGTGCCTGCTTCGCACACAAACCCATCGAAAAGTCAACAAACAACCAATTAATCAACCAATCAAAGAGCCAATTGATATATTTATCGATTGACATCCCGAAGAATCGGCAGAGGAAACTAGGTAGCGTAGGTTGTCGGCTCACACTTCGACACTCCACATTGACACTGAATTTTCCTGCGACACCCAAGGGGACAAARAAAACCGAAAAAAAAAAAAAAAAAAAAAAAGGTGATGAAGAAAACCAAGTGTACAGTTTGGTTCACGTCTGCAAGCAGAGCAAAAAAAAATTCTGACAATAATGCAATAGCACATACATATGCAAGGAAAAATAAGCAACAGCGAGATGACAATCCCAGATCACACCATCACATTGCAAGTCAAATAGTCACACCGTGTCCAGATAGCAGCATTGCACCAATAATACACCAATGGAGTTTCGTAGCACTGAAAACCAATGTCCGTGGAGAGCACACTCTCTCCCTCAACACACRAGTCCAGTTCCCTTACACTCACACTTGGCGCGCAGCGCCCAGCCTACTCCTACACAGCTACTACAGACTACAAAAAGACAATGCAACTGTTGACATCAGCAGCAGCCCGAAATACTTGAAGATGCCGCCCATGCAGACCATCGCCAATACCAGGTACGTGCCCTCACATCATCATCATCATCATCATCATCCTTCACCTATCCCCTGACTTCACCCACACCTGTCCTCTCTGTCACCCGAAGACCACCCCTGCGCTTCACTGTAGTCCAAGCCCACCAGCTATGGTGGCTGGGCTATGGCGCTGCCCTTAGCGGCGCCCTCCTCCTCTGCACGACCGCACGTGCTGCACCTCGCCTCCCAGTGCTAGCAGCAGCCCACGAGCATCTGCTCTAGCAGCGCTGCTGCCAGCATGCGAGTGCCTGAATGAGGCTGCCTGGCCAGAGCTCTTTCCTTTATGGAAAAGAGCTGGCCAGCTCTCGCAGCCTGGCTGGGCTGGCCTGGGCCCAGCAGCTTCCGAAAGGCCCCAGGATGCTGTCTGGATGCAGCAGCTACTGGGCTGCTGGGCCTCGTTCGGTTGGGCGCCCAACTGTCTCTGTATGAGGCTGCGAAYCACGCCCAGGGCCTGCATTCTTTGGAAAGGCCCGGTAGGCCGTGGAAATGTCTTCGGTACTCAGCCTGTGTTTCTTTCAACCAACTGGCGCGTCGCAACTGCCTGGACCCCAAAWATGAAATTGACAGTCGAGGGCCTCTTGCAAAAAGCCAGGCCCGCCTTCACTTAGGGCGGGTAAGGTTGCAGACAGGGCCCAGCAGGCCTACCGAGGACACTGATCCTCGCACATACACTACCCAGAGAAAAAGGCGCCGCTCCCAAACGTTTAGCACGAGCATCACCACCGCTCTCCGACCCGCATACCTCACCTACGTCCGCCAACCCACTATCAATGGCGTCTTGCCTTTCAGCCATACAACACCCACGCCAACTCTGTTGGAAAGAAGAAGAAAAAGGTAAAAATTCAAGTAATAATACTGTAATATACCGTACGTCAAACACCCACATCTAGGGCCTCGCTGCACTACTCTAGACTCTCGAATTTTCGAGAGTGGGTCATCGCTGCACTTACTCTCGATCGGGAAACTCTCGAAACCCGATCGAGAGCTGTCAGAAGCCACACTACAATGCAACTCTCGAAACGTCGAGAGTCCCCGGCCTGCAAAAACCGAATTTGCAAGTGTCCTCGGGAGTTGCCCGCCGGCAGGCTCGTTTTTCGAGAGTGGACCTCCTGTCCCGACGGCCAGACTTTGTCCCGTAGCGCAGTGGTGCAGCTGTTCTGTAGAGTAGGACGACGCCGAGGGTTTCGAGAGTTCACCTAAGTGCAGCGAAGGCGGGTATTTCGAGAGTCTCGCTTCTCTGACAATGCTAGCCAAACTCTCGAAATATTTCGAGAGTCTAGAGTAGTGCAGCGAGGCCCCTACTCGTAGCTAATAAGCCAATCGTAGCAGTTCTCCAGTCAACCTCCATACTGCATCAGTGCATCTTGCTTTCGCTTTTTGCGCGGAATCGTCAAGCACCTCTGGCCTGGAAATCACAACCTGAGCATCAAAATCTGGACAGGGATGCCAATCCGATCAGTCGTGCTCCTATAAACACGGCGCAAGCTTCCAGTAACCGCGGCTATCTTCTGCTTCCTATTTTTCCAAGAGCTGTAATCCTGCCGGTCTGAGAATGTGGAGTACCTTCGAGTCCCGGAGAGTATCCTTATGTTTCCCAGCCAAAGAATAAAACATGCGGTGTGTATGGAGCCGCAACTGTCGGGGTTTGGCCTCCGGAGCAAAATGGTTGGCGGCGTCAGCCAAAAGGAGGCCCGAGCTGGTCCGTTTTTCTTTGGCAAACAGGCAGGTTTTCCCGCCCTGCAGAAAACTGCCTCGGAAATACTGGTGATGTAACGCTCAGTAAAGACCCCCAAAACAGGTACCAATTCTGTACCCTCAACGGAGAACCTAGGAAATGCTAAATACGGTATACCGGTTTTGGTGTCCGTCCGCTTCAAGTTCTAAGAATAGCACACTGCTAGAAACTGTCCCAGATCCCGTTAAACCACCCGTACTTTGAGCCTGGAAACGCCCTATGCGCCGGGGTTGCACCCCCCGACCGTCGGCGGCCCTTGACTGGTCGGCTGGCGACCCGCCGACTGATCGGCTGGTCAGCACCTACCGGTCGGGGGTCCTCGGCACCCCGCAAAATAAATAAATAAATAAATAAACAAATAAATAAATAAATAAATAAAAATTTGGGGGGTCCAGAACCTCTAATTATACCACCAACACCCCCATAGCGGCCCCCAATACCCCCATTCACCCCCCAACACCCCCAAACCGCCCCCAATTCTGCAAGTGCAGCCCAGCCCCCAACTTAGATTTGAAAAAAAATCAGTGGATGCCACTGGATGTTTTTTTTTAACTTTTTTTTTTTTCTGACTGGTTGGCAGACCGCCGACCGGTCGGCCCTACTGGTCGGCTGCAATACGGTTGGCGGCCGGGGTCGGCGGTCCGGGTCGGCGGTCCGGGTCGGCGGTCGGGGTCGGTGGTCGGCAGGGATGCAACCCTGCTATGCAGCAAAAAAAACAAAATGGCATGGGCCTTCTTTTGACTGTTTGACTGGCGACGCCAGCTATTTAACTCCGGTTGGCCGACCCCCAAAACTTACTGGTCGTTTAACCACTCCCATGGACCGAATATCTCCTCGCCAATATTCCAGGAACAAAGACAGATCATCTGCCTGGTGTAGCCCACTTGCCAACTTCTGGTTTTCACCAATGGAGCTAAAAAACCAGCTGGAGTAAGTCTGACTTGATCCTGCCCAGCAAAACCCAAGCTAATGTAGAGCCCCCTGCAGAACGCAGTCAAACTCAACTGAGCCTCAT